TCCAGGTTGAACCCTTACAGGAGACTAAGTTTCCTTCTTATTCAACAACTACAAATTTCCCACCCGACCAGGAAAATCTACCACCTGCACTGTTCCACAAGAGAAATATATCTAACTTTGTATCTAACTTTAAGTCATGGTATTTGGGGGTTCAACATCACTTACTTAAATAACATGCTAGGTTTGGGGGAAGTGGATCAGGGGATTGAATGGTATTACCAAAATTTTGTTTGCACCTCTCACTTTTACAAAATATTTTTGCACTCACCGATTTGGTATTTAGTTTTCCTAATGTTTGGGGGACCTAGAGAGAGATTCCAACCCTTGCCATTCCTCTACTCTGAATTGCCCTACCTCTATACACTGCAGGCCCATGGTGTGGGTTTGCCTCTCTCTCTCTCTCTCTCTCTCTCTCTCTCTCTCTCTCTCTCTCTGTCTGTCTTTCTGTGATCTTTCTCTGAGTTCTCCACTCTTGCAGTTCCTAAGCGCCATCCCTCCAGATTGATTCAGTTAAACTTCATTTGTGTAAGTGTAAGCCCTTGCCCCTGAATTCAGTGATTCCGTCAAAATTCATGCCATTGTTTCTTGTTCCTTCATCTTAAGTCATGTCTTCATGCCTGGGAGGAATGCCATATACCAGGCTACACACATGTACTCAGAACAGGGAAGGAGGGATGTCCCCATGAAAACGGTGACCCCTATTGGAAGCAGAAATTCTGAATGCTGAGGAAGCCAACAGAAATGAACGCAATAAATCACACGCTCTGACTACTGAAAACTGAGTTTAAAAAGGGACACTTTTAATGGTTTTGATTATCCATGGCATTGTGGGGCTGGAGAGATGGCTACAGCAATAAATATGCATGCTTTGCATGTAGGAGTACCGGATTGAATCCCTGGCCGTGTAGTCCTCCCTGCTTGCTCCCCCTGTCCCCACCAATCATGCTGGAGGAGTATCTGTGTCTCACCAGATGTAGCCCCCAAGCCAAAACCACACAGACAAACACCAGGAACTGTGCGATTGTGTGGCTTGTTGGGCAGTGTCTGGTTGTGCATGTTGCACACTGCGCAATTCCATAAGCACATTTATAAAGTATCTGTGAATTATTCCCCCACTCCTCCCCTTCTACATTTGCATCAGTGCACGAGGCTATCTGTTCTGTGAAGAGGAGAGCATTGGGCTGTATATCCTACATGCACGTTCATTTGGCTTCATCCCAAACTAATATCGAAAAGCAGATATCGGATTGAGTGTTGGAATTTACTAAATCTCTCACTTCTTTTGCATCTATTTGGATATTTCCAGGTCCGAGGCTAGTTTTCTCTCCCAGTTTAATTATTGATGGATTCTGGTTCTACTCAACTCGAGCAAGGATTACATTTCTCTGACTCAGAACTCTCAGCAATTCTGTTATCTTGGGCCGTTCACATCAAAAATCCTTTCTGTCTGAATTCCTTTCTTGGTTCTTTGTTTCCAAGATACTGTGAATTTGGTCTACAAATGAGGCGCTTCCGCGAATACCTGTTTCATGGCAACCATGGGTGGTTTTGTGCTTTTTTTTTAAGTCCTAAATCTTCAGAGGCAATTATCTAAATGATTTTTGTCGTTCATCCTCTCAGTAAACAATTTTAACTTAAACATCATTTACGTCCAGGGAGACAGAGCTAATGGTACGCTGTTTAAAGAAACCCCCTTCCCCCATATACAAACGCTGTTTGTCTCATTGGTTCTATTTTTCTAGGACACATTCTTGGGTCTTTTTCTTCTTTCAATGACATTCCTCAAGTCAAGGTGACGAAGAGCTAGAGTTCCCAGCCAGAAAGGAAAGATTCCTATAATCTGAGAGCTGAAAGGCTTCTGCAAGTCACCAGGTCAAACAATTGGCCAAATAAATGAACCTTTTCTCAATAGCTCTGGCCAAAGGTCACCCAGTCATGGGTGGATCACACCCGGGGAAGAAAAACTGTCAAATTTCTGACCTGGCTCTGCCTTTTGTGTATAAATCATTAGAGAAAGCTTCCTTGGAAACCAAATAGTAACCTTCTCCCCCGTGCCATCTGCTTGTCAGAAAGGGTTAGGGCAGCGTTTATCAGCCAAGGGGGCATGGGCGGGTGTGTGTGTGTGTGTGGGGGGGGGGGGTGACGCTTGCAAGTCTCCCTTCAATCCTAGCCCCAGGAGACAGGGCAAGCCTCTTCATTCTTCAGGATTAGCACTGGCAGCTTCTGCCTGGTAATTATTACTCTTTGTCTACACTAGCTCGGGTGCCCGGGAAGGCACTACAAGCCTGGGCTCAGCACTCCGATGGCACTTCTCTGGGGCATGAGGCGTGGTGGTTAGCAGGGAGAACTTGCGCCAGGCTCAGGTGGCTTCTGTTTGGTCTTGGTATGGACCGAGGGGCTACAGAGAAAGAACAGGGGAGCTTGGAGGCTTTTTTTTTTTTTAAATTTTATTAGTGAAACACCATGAGGTATAGTTGTAGGCTTACAAATTTTTGTGCTTGGGTTTCGATTATACAATGATCAAATACCCATCCCTCCACCAGTGCCCGTTTTCCACCACCATGGATCCCAGTATCCCTCCCACCCTATCCTCCCCATCCCACCCTGCCTCTGTGGCAAGCCATTCCCTTTTGTTTTCTCTCTCCTTTGGGGCGCTGTGGTCTGCAAAAGAGGCATTGAGTGGCAATCATGTTAGGTCCATAGTCGTAACAGCATGCATCTCCCATCCTGGGAGGATCCTCCCAACACCCTTTACTTGGTGTTCCCTTCTCTATCTGAGCCACCCTTTCCCCTAGAATGCCCGGCTGGCCTCTAAGCCATGGAGTAATCCATGGCTTGAAGGCTTTCGAACTGCCCCCGCTGGAGGAAGCTAGGCTAGATTTGAGGGGGCTGTCTCCGTGCCCCTCCCCAGGAACTTAAACTGGGGCAGAAGACACGGGCTTCCAAGGGGGAAATGTGGCCAACCATCTCACCCAGCTCCGGTGGGTCCTGGATGCCAAGGAAATTGGGGAGACGCAGCTTCAGCCCTTGCCTCCTCCACCAAGGTCAAGGCAAACCATGGCAAGCGCCTCCTCGCCATCGCCTCGAAGACTGGGGCCGCTGGGAGAGGATTTGGGGTCCTAAGAGCAGCCCCCAGAGCGCAACGGGAGCTGAAGCATTGTCTCCGCCATCGCTCAGAGCTGTTGGGGGGTGCTGGGGGTCACGCAGAGCAGAGTGAGGGGCCTGGACAGGTGGGGCCAGGTGGGCGGGAGAGGAGCACAGTCAGGAGAGTCCCCACGGAGGGTTCCAGTGCTCCCCTCTTCTCCCTCTTGTCCTCGCTCTCCTCCTCACTCACGTCTTCCCGCTCTCCCTCCTCCCTTTTCTCTCCTTTCTCTGTTCCCTCCTCCCCCTCTCAGTCCTTCTCTCCCTCCTCCCTGGTCCTCCTGACCTCCTCACTCTCCTCCTCTCCGTCCTCTTGCCTCCTCTTCCCTCCCCTCTTCTCCCTCCTCCTCTCTCCCTTGTCCTCCTCCCTCTGATTCTGCCTTTTCTTCCCCTTCCCTCTCTCCCCTCCTCCCTTCTTCCTCCAGACTTCCTCCTCTCTCCTCTCAGCTCTCCTCCTCCCTCTCTCCTCACTCCTCTCACCCTCTTCCCTCTCTCCTCCCAGTCCTCCTCTCTCCTCTCTCTTCCTCTCTCCTCCCCATCTCCTCCTTTCCTCTCCTCCCTTCCCTCCTCTCTCCCTCTCCCTTGCCTTCTCCTCTCTCCTCCCCCCTCCTCCTCTTCCTCCCTTTCTCCATCTCTTCTTCCTCTTCCTCTCTCCTTCTCCTCTTCCTCCTCTCTCATCTTCCTTCTCTCTCCTCCTCCTCTTCCTCTTCCTCCTGCTGTCCTCCTCTTCCTCCTCCTCCTCTTCATCCTCTTCCTCTCTCATCTTCCTCCTCTTCCTCCTCCTCTTCCTCCTTCTGCTGTCCTACTCTTCCTCTGTCCTCCTCCTCCTCTTCTTCCTCCTCCTCCTCTCCTACTCTTCCTCTTTGTTTCCTCCTCCTCCTCCTCCTCTTCCTCCCTCTCCTTCCTCCTCTCTCTCCTTTCTCCTCTCTCCTCCCCTTCTCCTCTTCCTCTTTCCTTTTCCTCCTTCTCCTCCTCCTCCTCTCTCCTCCTTTCTCCTCCCTCCTCCTCCTCCTCTCCTTCCTCCTCCTCTCCTTCCTCCTCTTCCTCCACCTCTTCCTCCTCCCTCCTTCTTTCTCCTCCCTCCTCCTTTCTCCTCCCTCCTCCTCCTCTCTCCTCTCTCCTCCTTTCTCCTCCCTCCTCCTCCTCCTCTCCTTCCTCCTCCTCTCCTTCCTCCTCCTCTTCCTCCTCCTCCTCCTCCTCCCTCCTTCTTTCTCCTCCCTCCTCCTCCTCCTCCCTCCTTCTTTCTCCTCCCTCCTCCTCCTCCTCCTTTCTCCTCTCTCCTCCTCCTCCTCCTTTTCCTCCTCCTCCTCCTCCTCCTTTCTCCTCCCTCCTCCTCCTCCTTCCTCCTCTCTCCTCCTCCCTCCTCTTCCTCCTCCTCCTCCTCTTCCTCCTCCTCCTCCTCTTCCTCCTCCTCCTTCCCTCCTCCTCCTCCTCCTCCTCTCTCCCTCCTCCTCTCTCCTTTCTCCCCTCTCCTCCCCTCCCCTCCTCCTTACCCTCCTCCTTACCCCCCCCACCTCCTCCCTCCCCTCTCCCCGCCCCCTCCTGTGCCGGGCGGCCGCGCGGGGTCCCGGCGGCGGCGGCGGCTGCTCCTCCTCCGGGCCGGCCGCGGCGGCGTCAGCTGACGCGGGCGCCCCAACCCCGCGGCGCGGCGCTGTGGGCGCGGGGCGAAGTGGCGGCGGCGGCGGCGGCGCGGGCGGCTGGCGGGGCGTCGGGGTGCCGGGGTGCCTGCCTGTCGGGGTGCGGGGTGCCTGCCGGTCGGGGTGCCGCGGGGCCGGGGCCGGGCCAGCGCCTCCCGCAGCCCCGCAACTTGGCCGGGCGGCGCCTCCCCCGCTGGCCGCGCGGGGCGCCGGGCGCGTCCGTGGGTGCGTCTGTCCGTCTGTCCGTCCGGGATGGCGTCCACGTTCAACGACATCGTGAAGCAGGGCTACGTGCGCATCCGGAGCCGGCGCCTGGGGGTGAGTGCGGCCCGCGGCATCCCCCCGGCGGCGGTTCCCGGGACCCGCGGGGTGCGGGGCGGGGGCGCGCGCCGCCGACCCCCGGGGCCCCCACCCAGCCCCCCGCCTCGGCCTCCAACTTAACTTTTCCCGGGCCGGGGAGGGCAAGCTGCGACTCGGCTGCTCCGGGCCGGCGACCCTGGCTGGGACCCCCGGGGCAGGTTTCTGCCCGGCGACAGGGAGACCCGGGTCCCCCCGACTCGTCCCGCGGGGCTTCTGGGGCGAGGGGCCAGGTCCCCTTCTAGGAGTCTGCGTTTGCGCCCAGCTTTTTGCCCAGGGATTTTAGGGGCGACCCGGAGCCGGTGATTGGGGGGCTCAGATTCCATCCATCGGTGTGCAGTGAAGAAAGGAATGAATGGGTCTGGGGGTGTGCGCGCTGTTGTAGGGGCTGCCTCCTCCTTTAACCCCACTTCTCCGCATTGAGCGACTTGAGACCCTCCCCAGGCTGCCCAACAGAGAGGGGACTGGGGTCCTGGGGACCAAGCCTGGGGTCCTGAGGACCCAACCCGGCATCCTGGGGACCAAGTCTGGCGTCCTGGGGACCAAGCCCGGCATCCTGGGGACCAAGTCTGGCGTCCTGGGGACCAAGCCCGGCATCCTGGGGACAAGTCTGGCGTCCTGGGGACCAAGCCCGGCATCCTGGGGACCAAGTCTGGCGTCCTGGAGACCAAGCCCGGCATCCTGGGGACCAAGCCTGGCATCCCAGGGACCCAGCCTCCTCCTGTCTCTTTGCCTCCCTGGCTGTGGTTTTGTCTGTGCGGTGGGTTTGGGTGACAGGGTGGCCGGGCGGGGAGAGTTGGAGTTTGAACGGGGCAAGACTAATCATTCCCTGAGCTGGGCTCAGCCTCCTGGGGGCAGAGTTAGAGCCACACACGAAGGTCTTCGCCCACGAGCGCCGGCACGGCCAGCCTTCTTTCTCTTCCTGGGTCTTGGAGCTTTTTTTTTTTCTGTGCTTGCCAGATTCATTTTACTGAAAATGGCAGGGCTGTGCCTCGGTGGCCGGAGCTCCCTCCCGAGCACAGGGACTGAGCTGATGCTCTGGTGCTTTGCCTCCTCCAGTGTGTGTTTCTCCCCCCTGCTGGTTAGCCTGTTGTAGCAACGAGGTGCTGAGGTGCTCGGTTTGTGTGAACGGATAAATATATAATCAGGGAGAAATGTAACAGAATATACAGCTGCATCGACCCTGCCTTAAGTTTCCTAGATCTTCTCATCAGCACAGGTAGCTGTGGTACTTACCTGAGCAATGTATGCAAAGCAATCACAGGAACTTTTTTTTTTTTTTCTGGAAACCTTCTGGGCCAGCCAGGCGTTGTGATCTTAAAGGGTGCCGAACAACAACAAAAAAAGCCCCACCTTTCTCATTTTAGGTGGTCTTGATCGTCCCAACTGATGAAGCTGATGGGAGATGGGCCTCTCTCTTTCCAAGCATTCCGATAGGAAGGGGGCATGCGTTCTTAATGCAGCGATGTGAATTATTCACCAGGACGGGTATGCGTACCAAACTGTGACACGTGGTGATTTATCTGGAAGACCGGTTACCATACCTCCCCAGGTTCTAGTTATTGAGATGATTGCACTGTGTTATCACATCTGCCACAGTGCAGTCCAGTAGGGCTGCGGTTAGGGGTGGGGGACGGGGGGTCAGTGATCCCCCAGTGAAGCAGGAAGGGAAGGAGTGAAGAGTCTTGTGTACTTCTATTGTACAGACAGCCATGCCAGCGAGCAGTCTACTTTCTTTTTTCCCTTTTTGGGTCACATCCGGCTTTGCACAAGGGTTACTCCTGGCTCATGCACTCAGGAATTACTCCTGGCGGTGCTCAGGGGACCTTCTGGGATGCTGGGACTCGAACCCGGGTTGGCCGTGTGCAAGGCAAATGCCCTCCCCGCTGTGCTATCTCCAGCCCCAAGCAGTCTACTTTCTGAGCATTTATTCATGTTGTCTGTCATGAAGATAGATCTTGGAATTGTTAGTGAATGAGGGCAGTTTTGCTCATGGAGAGAAAAGAACAAAATTCTAATCAAAGACATTTGGTGGCTTGATTTGTTAGTGGAGATGTTATTACCAGGTTATTATTATTTTTTTTAACTATTTAAGAAGTATACTTAGAATGTGATCTCTTGACAGAGATGGGGGATGGTTTTCACGAAACACCAAGAACTTGTTCAGCTGGGTGGGGGTGGGGGGAGGATCTTTCTGGGGGTGTGTGGGGAGGCTCAGTCCCTCTGGCCAAAGTGAGATATGTCCGTGTAGGGTGGCTCTGGACTGCCTGGAGGTGGGCACAGTGTGCAATGTGTGTCAGCTTCAAACAGAGGAGCCATGTTCCCGCGGGGCCCAACGGGCACTTGGTATATGAACAAAGAGGCATCCAGCTCCGAATGAAGTGTGACTACGCCATTCTTCACCCCCTTTCGGAACTAATAGGACACAGTGGTCTTATTAATGGAATCCAGACAAGTGTCTGCGGATTAGAACCATGTTGGGCGGGTTTATAATTAAACAAAAAAAGCAACATTTCATGGTATGCAGCTGCCGTGCCAAGGAATGCGTCCTCGGAGTTTGGAAAAGAGCGAAGAGGACCAGTCCTGCTTCCATTCTCCATTAGCTCTGGCACCCAGGATGCTTCCTGGCCTCGGTTCCCTAGACCGGACAGTGTCCAGTGAAGGAGAGAGTATCTGGAAATGCAACGGGAGCACAATGTTGACTCTGATCAGATCATTTCCTTAACAGTTTCCAAGATGAGTTAGGACTGGTGGAAGATTATAGGTATTTTTGATTTCTTTACCTTGCTCTTGGGCTGGAGCCATAGCATAGCGGGTAGGGCGTTTGCCTTGCATGCGGCTGACCCAGCCGACCCGGGTTCGATTCCTCCAGACGGGTTCGATTCCTCCGACCCTCTCAGAGAGCCCAGCTAGCTACGGAGAGTATCTCGCCCACACGGCAAAGCCTGGCAAGCTACCCGTGACTATTCAATATGCCAAACACAGTAACAACAAGTCTTACAATGGAGACGTTACTGGGCCCGCTGGAGGAAATCGATGAACAACGGGAGGACAGTGCTACAGTGCTACCTTCTGGACACTGAAAAGTGTCCAGAAGCTTAATGTTTCTAGATAGTTTCATTGAATATAGGTTTGTAATTGGGTATATTTCAGTGTTTTTCCCCCGCTCCCCCCCCTCACCACACACACCCACACCCATACACACACACACACACACACCCATACACACACACACACACACACACACACACACACAACCCCCCAACCCCGCCTTCTGCTTTTGAGCAAGAAACATTCTAAGATCAAACCCATTCTAATGGGTTGCAGATAAATGATGACCTTTATCTGGGATCCTAAACAGTTTCGCTGATGAAGTAATGGAATATATCTGGACTTACTTATTTTTCTCCCAACCCCCTAAAATTCAATGAAATGCCAGTCATTTAACTAAAAAAAAAATCTCATTATCTTCACATCTTCATTCCTGAGCTTAATCTCCATTGGCTCATGATGGTTTGGGTCTCTGCCCTGGGGACAGAGTTGGTTCAGGAATGATAATGTTTCTCTTTAGGGGTGAGCAGCTGTCTATAATTATGCGGCTAATCCACAAAAGCACGGAAGAATCATCCTCAGAAGAGACACAGTGCACATCATTAACCTGATGTCCTTCGACAGTCAGAACTGTCTCTTGGTCACTTCCTGTATCTTGGAGAGAATTTTCCCAGCAGCCCTGATCAGAGTGGGATCTCATGCAGGAGCTGAGAATCAGGGCTGTTCTTCACCCATATTCATTCCTGTATTATTTCTGCCTCTGAGTCCCATCCCTCAGCTAACCCACCTCAGATTGGGGCTTCTCAAACCCAATCAATGTATCCAAGCTCTCGGGTTTCACCCAGACTTGCTTCTCCTCAGTCAGCTCTGCAGCCATTAGAAGTCCAACATTTTTGTTGCCCAGGTAAAAAAAAAAAAACCAGTCAAGCAATTAAGCCAGCAGGAGGCAAGCAGCTGGACCTCAGCTGGTCATAGCTCGCCTCTCCTCTCCTATCACCCCATTCCACCGAGCTGTCCGGAGACCTTGTGGGCTGTGTTGGAGATAACGTGGGCTGAGATGGCTCTCCTGCCATCCCACGTGATATTCTGGCCCACTTGTCCCTCATCTCCTACCTGCGGCATTACGGTAACTTCCTGTCCCTGGATGCTTAACCCCCTGATGACTTTTTGTGCAATTCAGTGAAAAGTCCTACAACTGGCTCCTAGATCACAGCTGTGCTGACTCAGAGCGACTCTCCGGCAGTTCCTTCTGCTTCAAAATGCAGTGCCTTCAACTTTCTGCTGGCGGCCTCCCGCACTTCTCTCATTTTGATTCCTTCCCTCCCTCCCTCCCTCCCTCCCTCCCCCCTCCCTCCCTCCCTCCTTTCCTCCCTCCCTCCTCTCCTCCTTCTCCCCCTCCCCTTCCTTCCCTCCCTCTCTCCTCCCTCCTTTCCTCCTCTCCTTCCCTTCTTCCTTCCTTCCTTCCTTCCTTCCTTCCTTCCTTCCTTCCTTCCTAGCTGTGCTCAGGGCTCACTCCTGGCTTGGTACTCAGGGATCCTTCCCAAAAGGGCTTGGGTACCATATGGGTTGCAGCTTTCAGACGTGGGTTGACCTCATGCAAGGCAATAGTACGGTCTCTCTGGTCCCCCATCCGCCTTTCCTCAACTCTTTCCTTTTCATTAAAGTCTTCCAGATGCCTTATTGTATTTCTTCCCTCCTCCGATTTCTTTTCCTTTTTTCTCCTAGACTTAGGAATATCAACCTTTTAGTCTTCGTATGCTTCATTTGTTCTTTGTCCGTACATCTCATATAGCACGTGCAGCTCTGAGGGCTGGGGAATGATTCTCCATCTCAGTTACAGCTGAATCGCGGTATCAGGAAACTCTTCCTCCTTAGCAGGGAGGGGGCTTTGGATAAAGAGGTCTGTTTCT